TTTTCGTGTGGCCAAATCAAAAGCAAAGCGTCAGCGTCGTCGACCATTGTGTCTGCTACTGTGATGGCTGTCAAAACCTCGTACCCAAGCTGAGCGCAAAATTACCGTCGACTCCATCGTCAACGAGTACTTTAGAGCATCACGATGATTTAGACAGTATTAAAATTGCTCGAGTTTCAGGAGGGTGTACATGACTGAAAATTAAATTTTGAAGACATTCAGGCTGTACGTATGCCTCCTCTACTTATGAATCGACACCTCTGATTGGATCATTGCACAGAACGCGCCTAGAGCTTTCGAAGTGTGTGTAAGTTTGAGCACGAATCTCAAAAACGCGGGTCATTTTTACCCAAGTCAAAGACAGCATACAAACTTCCATATAAAACATATACATCAGACATGACACACATTCAAAAATGTCATCAACACGGCCCGACCTGACGAACGAGGAGCGTGAAGCCATCCTTCGGGAAGTCCTGCTCCAAAGCAACAACGACTTTCCCACCCGGCTGCCTAAAGGCACAAGTCAGTTGCTGGCTGCAAAATACCATTGCCACGTGTCTACTAGCCGAAACATTGCTTTGGCCAAGGCCCAAGGCGTCTCTCATGGTAACACGAAAGTGTCTGTAGCAAACAAAAAGAAAGGCAAAGCAGGCAGAAAAATAGCTTACACTGCCCAGCAAGTTAAGGTCAAGCTGCTGCAGGTGCCTCTTGCACAACGAACAACGCTTCGTTCAATATCTGAATACACTGGTATGGCAGGAAAGGCTCGGTAGGAGGGTTCTCGAGGTAAACCCCGCTCCTGAGTTGAATGGTACTGCCAGAATTGGCCTATACCGACTTTTCATTGGTTCTGAGACAAGTGTTTTGAAGGATTTGATTGGACAGCTGAAATGGTCACCTTGTGAAATGTATACCGAGTATAATGTCCTGAGGTGACTGTATTTTTTTTCGAGGAGGAATACGTCATTTTTCTGAATCGCTCAATTATTGTGGGACAGAGGGAATTTTTGGATATGAAAAATGCCTGCCACTCACGGGAACATAGAACCACGCGTAAGATGGACGACTGTGTTTCGGTGGGTAAAGAGGAAAAAGATTGTTGAGCTTCAAGTTTGTGCTATCCTCTAAGCCAAACATTTTAAGTGATTTTGCCTAGGGGAGGCGTGGTGTTGAGCATCCTCTTCTTGAGAAATTCGCCATCGGTCAAATCCCGTGATAGTTGAAAATTTGGATATCATTCA